CACACCCACACCCTGACACCACAACCCCCCACTTATACACCTATACATACCCTATTGACTCGCCACACACCCTCACAATCACCCCACACTCCTCCATACATACATACCCAACCACACTCCACACCCCCACAGTATACAAGAGTAAAACTTTATTTTTGAGTTATTATGCAATTATTTCTATATACAGTATGCAAACACAAATCATGACAAAAATCTTTTTTGTAATAAAATCAAAATATGTTTATAGTAGGTGTTTGACTTTTAGTATACAATTTGTTTTTTTCTGGTTCCAAGATGGCAATGCTCCCCTCCGAAAAAGAGTACTTCTAGGGGGAACAGGGAGAGACTTCCAGTGACAAAGGTGAGGGGTTATGGGGCGGACTTCTGGTCCAACCAGGGGGTGGAGCACCTGTTAAGGGGACTACCCTTGCAGCCCTCAGCAGCTCACAAAAACTCATTAAACAGCCCTACAGTCAAAATAACTGCCACTCCTGATCTAAAGGCAGTAACTAATTCAGATCCATATTATAGATGCTAGCATTAAAGCAAATTATTTCCACAAATCCTGGATATCTTATCAGGGGGTACCATCTAGCTTAAATGCTGTTCATGCAAAATAAGTGTAAGGGTGGGATTTTCAAAATAAATTGAGCTATGTTCCAACGTTCAACAGGACTTGGAGACCTAACACAGAAAGGAATCATCTGGGTCCTTAAATCTAGTATTAGAACTGCAGACAGCAATGAAATAAACATTCAGTCCACAAGAACAGCTACCCCATATCACTGAAATGCAATTACATATGGAGCCCTACCTCTGTTTAAGAGTAATTCCTTTAGTACAGTGTCACCAGTCAGAGCAACCAACTGGCTGCTTACCTAGGAAGCTGGGTAGTTTCCACCCAAATTGGCCCCAGCCCATGAGGAAAAGTAGCCCAGGAAGGGCTGGTGACAAGTTAAACTTACCTGCAAGTACTGGAGCAGAGAAACAAGAGCAGCATGCACTGCCATCATGCCATTTTAAAAGCACATACTCCCTGTTCATTGGAGGATGCCCAGGGAGTGACACAGAAAAGAAGCACCTGGAGGCAGAGGGAAACCAGGAGTTGGAGGTGGCAAAAGACTGCCAGGAGCCAGAGTGGGAGGGAGGCAGCTGCAAAGAGCCTCTGTGCTCCAACCTGGACCCAAGCCCATGCTGCAAAGCTGGGTGGAGACCACAGGAAATACACCAAGCTCCAGTAAGCCCAGAAGCAAGAGGCTCTGGAGTTTGAGTGAGGAAACTTGTCAAGGGAGGACTCAGGAGTCCTCACTCACAGAGTGGACAAGCCTGAAGAGTTAAGAGAATTGCAGGACTACAGACCTGTCGGCAGCAATCTGAATGGGTCACATAAGTCCAAACCTTGCATAGTGCCAGGCAGCAGCAATGCAGCCACAGCTTCCACCTGCCTGGCCCCAGCACAGCTGCCCTCCAGCTGAAAGCTGCGCTCATGTAGGGTACTGGGAAAAGCTGTGCCAGTACAACTCCCAGCTGCCTAGCCCCAGCATGGGTGCAGGCAAACCCCCTCACTGCTGACGCACCACTGAAGCCACCCAACCCACACCAGCCTGAAGCTGGGTTGTTCTAGCCCACAGCTTGAAAAGGCAGCTGGGCCCTACTTTAGCAGGTAAATCAATTTACTTCAACTTCAATCTACAGAAAACATCTGGGTGAAGTTAAAGATCAGCCCTTTCCAGTGCATCATGTTATAAGGATACAAGTAAGGAAAATCTATACTGCTTGGTCATTCATTACAATTGATTGATGGGCCCAACATAATATGTTACTGTTTAGGTTTCAGAAATTAGCTATTCAAATGCAACCTGTCAGATGCAAGCATCTTGCAGCACATTTATTTCAGCTCCTAATCTTCACAACATACAAACTTAAGATGTGACCTCACCCAAACAACGTGCAGCCCATCCTATTCTTAGGATACTCTACAAAACATGGTCCTCTGATACAGCTGCAGCATTCACTCACTTTTGCTGGGTTCTTTCAGAGAGCCTTGAAGCTTCTGCAGCTGCTTTTCTTGCTTCAAACTCTTCCCTTTTCAGCACCTCACCGCTTCCCCGGAATCCCAGCTCCACCAGCTGGCGAGCCATCTCTTCATTCTGTAGGAGCAAGGAAAGGTCAGCTTCACCTCTGAAAAAACAGCATCCATTTCCCAACCACCAGAAATAAACATCCCAAGCTGGGGTGATGGTGGGAGTATCTTTCCATTCAACAGTGGCCAGAGAAGAATAAAGAAATATCATTACAGGTTAACAGCCACTTCCTCTGACAGCAGTTGTTGTGTGTGGCACTTTCACTTCTTTTTCTCCTATAACACCACCATCCCCACTATAGGTAAGAATACAGCAGAGTCACATGAAGCCTAAGAAAACATAGGTTCTCCTGAAGGGCAAGTAAAGACTTCTAGTCATGTTTAATCAGTTTCTTCACTTAGAGCTGCTGTCATTTCACAGAGAGCTGTAACCAAAAAAAAAAAATTATTTGGAGAAAATTCTGTATACAGATCATTCCTTTAATGTGGCTCCTTCGCTGGCAACTAAATGTATGTACTAAAATGTATCCCTGCTGGTTGTTAAGGGTCAGGGAATAAGAGGGAAAGGTGCCCATGGTGGGAAACAGCAGGTAGGTTAGTCCCTTGATCATATGGAAGCCTTGATATCTGTGTAGCTCTCCAGACACCTGCAGAGCAAAAGAGCAATCAGGAAGTGGTCCACAGTCTCTTCCCAGGCCCTTTAACTGCCCATGTTGCAACAGCAACAAAACACTATACTGCCCAAAACTTTTTTTGTGGGTTGCTTATAGCTGTGTAAGGAAGAGACAGCATTGCTGAACTGATCAGGAGCAGCTTGGGAGTTATTCACATTCAGAAAGAGCTTAATGAAGTGCCCTGAGCTGTTCCCTGACTCCTTTATTTCCCCTTCTAACCTCCAGGACTGTGGTACTAGTATGAGACATGTGGGGGGAGCTACAAGGAAAATAAAAGCATGTACATCCTAATCATTCATTACACAGGCAAAGCTTCTACTTAAAGTCTTTAGCTTTTGCGAATATAGTCATGTAAAGCGTCGTAACCACATCGTACATCCGCTTTGATGTGCAAGTTTTCCTTTCCTAGTGTGGCCTTTTCCACAAAAGTGAACTAATGCTTCCACCTAGTGGCAAGAAACCAGAGCAAACTTTCACTGCATCTTCTGCAGGTTTGAGTCACAACAGGTCAAATATTTTCCTCCCTTCTGGAGTTCAGAGGGAAGGAAATGAAATATGGCTGAGGAGTAACATAAGAAGGAAGTAGCATATAGGGTGGAATTTCCCTGGGAAATTAGGGTTGCTCCTCACATCAGTTTCTGCCTCTTACTCACTGCCACTGCCTCTTACTCACTTTGGCAGGAGAACCTAACCACTGTGCCACCTTTTTTCTGGTGATCTGACAAGAAAAGGGGAGAGCAAGACACAGTGCAGAGATGGGCATCTGTGTAGAAGCTGAATGAGCCACAAAGCTGGACTGCAGACTCCTAGAGCATGCCCAGATGATCACGCACATGTGGTCTGCAGTGCCTCAAACCTGTTTGTGGCACCACAAACCACACAAGGCAGATGTGCAACTGTGCTCTGCGCTGCAAATCTGTGCAGCAGAGTGAGCCACCAGAAACAGAGCTTGGCCATACAGAGCCATGCTGTGGCTGCTGGCCAGGCTCAGAACAGCTGGATTAGTACTGCTGCTGCCCCAGAAGGCACCCAGGGCCCTAGGTAAGACTGCTGGGACCAGCACAGGTGCTGTCCCCACCCTCCCCTACCCCATCCAGGACAATTTGGTGCGCACTAAAGAGCACCTGCAGGGGCATGCCCTAGGGCACAAAGCAGTGGCACAATTGTGTGCCACTGGAAACACATACCTGCATATTGGGATGCGCTCTCAGGTGGGATCCAATAGTAATCCATCCCTGTGAGGGAATCAGAGGTCCAGAATCCCAAGAGGGGAAGTGACTGCCTTATT